GGACCCCCTGCTCACGCGTGACCTTGCAAATTCAAATTCAACGTTTCCGCACTCTCGAGTATCACCTGCGGTCCGTGAAAATTTTGGCGGGTAAATTACTATCTCGGGATCTACGGATGTTCGGAATCTGAAATTTTACGGCGATGAACGTACGACCCCCGCAAATTTGGATTCAGCTTCGCGCACTCCTGAGTGCCGCGTACGGCCCCGTGAAAGTTTCGGCAGAAAAATTGTCTCTTGGATTGCAAAAGCTAGAATACTGAAATTTTAGTACAGCAACTCCGTAAATTTTCAACGTCCCTGTGGAAGTTTTGGCGAGTGAAATCATCACCTCGAGAGCCAGAAGAGTTCGGAGACTGAAATTTTCAGAAGAAAGTTTCCTGCCTAAGTAGGAGCTTCGCAAACTTGGACTCGCTTCCTAAGTATGCCAAGGTCTCACGTACGACCACGTGAAAGTCTCGTTTCAAAGATCATTCGAAAGTCAGAAAATTAGGAGACTGAAATTTTGGAAAGATATTCACCTTACGAGGTTTCAAATTTAACTTTCACGTGCCGATGCGAGAAGTTTTTAACTACTTTTCGACGTTTCAGCTATTTTTGGACAGATTAAAGTACAAAGCAGTGAAAATCATTAATAGGCAGTCGTTCGGTGGACGGAATTTCACAAAACGCATGATCGCACCGGCTAGTCTGATGCGCGTTGTTATTTATTGCTGCCTATTACAGCGTTCGAGTGCTACTCAGCAAAAACGCATAAAAAGCAGAAATGCAAATTTGTGTAGCGATTTAGGCGAGCTGCAAAGCGTTAATTCTTGTCAGATGCTTCAAAGCTGTGTGCAGAAATGCGCTTTGAAAACTGATCTGTTCAGGATTCACTACATTTGGCAGTTTCGATTGTCGATCGAACTCTCATTGCGCTACAGTGTCCGCGATCGCAACTGCAGCTGGTTGGCTCCGCGGCCATGGTGCTCGCTTCGAAGATGGAAGATGCTGAATCAGTGAGTGCAGACCAAATGGCAAAAGCAACCGACAACACTTACCT